GGTCTTTCTGCTTGCGCTCCTTATTTTTGCTTATCGGCCGATTCATCGGGAGAAACGGAGAAAGAGAGGAAAAATATTGCTGTCGCGCTCGTGTATGCGCGGACGATTCGTCGTATGGTGGTTTGCTCACACCAAAGTATAACCGGAACGGCGGCGACGATGAACAAAAGAAGAGCAACTGACGCGAGGAACGAAACGAGGGGAGCGCGGATGGGCTTCACACAGTTGGATAACCCGCTCGCGATGAGCGAGTTGAGGGTGATAACGTACAAAATCACGGGCGCGCGTTATTCGCGTAATTTAGAGAGAGGAAGGTGTGTACACGTAAACTCAGAGAAATGGAAGGAGGGAGAGAGTAAAGTAATGCCAAGGACGTCTGGGCATGTTTACGGGCATCGGTAATGATAATACCGGGGAATTTCGGTCCTCCCTTTACTTCGCGCCGCTGCAGCGAGAGAGAAAAAAAAAGCCCCCGAAAACAGTTATACCCGGTCGCTGCTGTTGATATTGGCGCGGGTTAATATAAATGTATGCGTATGCCTCTTAACGGAACGTATACGTAAGTACGCGTAATAATGAACCAAAAAGAGAAAAGGAGTCGCGGGAAGAGATAAAGTTTGATCACGCGGAAAAAAACGCGGGACCATCGTTGCCGCGATCGCGATTACGCGGATCAATAAACGTGTGAATAAAATATACGTATATTAGGTACATGAAGAGGAGTAAAATTGCACCGAGGACATTTGTAAATTTGACAAGTTGGCTCTCGCGATGATGTCGCTTGCCCGTGCAAGTATATAAATATACTTGCATTTTTATTCATATACCTACATACATATATACACGTATACGTGCAAAAAGTTGTGAATTATTCTGCCCTCTCGTGTACCTGATGCTTCATGAATCCGTGCGCGCGTACGCGCGACCTTGAATCTGCGCAACATAGCCGTGGGACGTAATACATTGTACGTACGTATCGATTGTTCCGATCGGCTGGTGTGAAAAGTAAAAATTCACTTTGCCACTCTGCACGAATATACTTATACGTGCCTGTACGCGCGATGAAACTCTGTGCCACGTATAAATATGTGTGTACTTGCGCGTGTACGTAAGATGCGAACAATCATCCTCTCTCAAGCAGATATCGATTACTCGCAACGAACTTCGCAGAGATAGAGCGTGCCCCAACAAAAAGAAAAGCCGACAGTTCGGGCGTACCTTTGTACCAGAAATCCCAGATCGACGACTCATATTACGCGCTTCTCGCGGAATTTTCACTCCATCCCTCCCCCCACCTTTTGCCAAAAAAAAAAAAAAAAAAAAAAAAGAAGCGCTTACACAAAGGAAGGTAGCGGAAGAAGAATTCTATGCCGAAGGAACGACTCGGGGCACTCTCGCGCATAATTAAAGCCAAAAGTGCGCAGGTAGGTATATATACCTTATCCTTATCTCGGCGGGTGAGTTACGCTCGACGTGGGGGCTCGCCGCGCCAGAGGATTAACCCACGAGCGCACAGCTCCTTTTGTTTTGTTCTCCTCGTGTGTTATTTCCTCGAGTCCGCAGCAGCAGGACGAAGAGGAGAGAGAAACATATATTTATTCAGGCCCCTGCGGGCGATGAGCGTATCTCACCCCGAGTGGAAAATAAACTTTGACGCGTGCTCGCGCGCCGTAATAGAGGAATTGCACGCCGCCTCGATGATTTTCCTTTTTTTATCCCCCCCCCCCACACACCCCAACCCACCTGCCTCCTCCGCGAGATAATTAAAACGAATGGCCCACGTGGAGCCTTTGCTCGCTAAGTACTGCCAATGTGGCGTTCCTTCGTTTTCTTTGTTTTTCATGCTTTCCAAGGAGCTTCCTCCTTTTTTTCTTTCCCCTCGGATATTCGCGTATACGTATAGCGTTACTTCAAACTTGAACGTATTACCTGGATGTTATACTTTACGGCTGCATATGAAAATCCGCGCTTGTGTAATGGGCACCTGCGCTGAAAAGCGAGAGCGAGATATGCCATTAATAAGACCCGAGGGTAGGAAGGAAGGAAGGGAGGATGGGGGAGCAAGCAGAGCTCGAAGTATCCCATTTACGAGTCGTTGATCTGCCCACGTATATATATATATATAGGCTGGCTCGTCCGAGCCTATTACTCGCGTTACTGCTAAACAGCTTTATTAGATAATAAAATGACGCGTCTCATCGTTGGCTCCTCCAAGGATATTTATATTATTTTGGTGTACGTCTATCCATATCTACCGTACACGGGTATACTTTTACGTGGATTTTTACGTATTTGCCAATGAAATAACTAATAAAAATTGACAGCCAACAGTGAAACAATAAAAACCATATAGTGTCGTTTGCGAAAAATCAATACCAGGCCATCGCACCCTCCGACGTAATCTATATGTTTTTATTCTTAGCTTTCTGTACGCGTATATCTTGCAAACGAAAGAATAATGGTGCGGAGCAGCAGCAGCGGAAAATGGGTAAAGGAAATTGGATTCGCAAAGAGATAGATACCGGGCAACGTTAATATACAGGTACGGGGTGGTGGCGGCGTCGGGTATATCCGCTCATTAGGCTCATCCTTTGACGCATACATTATCTCAGCTCGGGATGTTTTTCAAGCGCAAATCTGCACCTCGTGCATATGTGTGTGTGTGTGTACACGAGAGTATCACGGGGAGGGGCGCACGCAATCGATCGGAAATTCCTTTTGCGTCGGGGCGTCGGTACGACTTTATGATCACTCGTGTAATATATATTCGCATACGTAACTCGCTCCTTTCCCATTTTCCTCTTAACTTATCTCTCGGCTGCCCGGCCACATATTCATAGGAAATTTTCGTCTTCGATTTTTCTCCCGTACGCGCAGGAGACGCGGATCATAAGTTTTTACGATTAAGTTATTTTTAAACTCAAACCTTTTGCGTGCACAGACCTCAATGTGTATATACATGTGTGCAATATCATATATATGGGGTACATAATAGTCTTGATTTGTTTGCTTGGGTGTATATACGCAACGAGATAAGTGGAGAGAGAGAGAGTCAAAAGGACGGCAGGTGAATATGTTAATACGCAGGCGATACTGGGCTGAGTTATGCGCATAATGAAGATATAATAACTGGGCATATTGGCAGGTAATTGATGCAATACAAATTACTCGATGAATGAGGGCTTATTGGTGTGAAAACTAATACCTATTTATATGTTTAGGTTTTTTTTTTCTTTTTTCTTTTTACTCGAGCTCTGCCATGACAAAACGTATTGAGCAACAATACGTCATATTGTTTACCGAAGGGTAATAACACGCATAAATGTACCTACTTACACTGAAACTAAATAGTTGTGATTATAATTATGTAGTCCCGTCACATTGAGAGACGAGAAATTGTACAAAACTTTTTGTACAATGCATTATGCAGGTTTTCAACAAGTGCCGGTTCATTGTTATTTTGAACTACTCGTACACGTGTGTATTATGACAGTATTGAAACTCTTTTGATGAAATTGCGTTACCACACGTACCAATATCATAAAATAATCGGTTCAACATTGATAAGCTTGAAAAATAAAAAAATAAAAAGTAGTCGATCAATGTCTCAAATGGGCGATCGTCTGCAATAAATCACGCAATTTACAAATTTTTGTCCTTAAAACGTCGTCTCTTCACATTTATATACATATAATGTACGAAAGTAAGCACGAGAGGAGTAAAATAAAACATCAATCACGTCCAGGGAGGCTCGCTTACCCGTGCGGCAATGGCAATAATTACAAGTTACACAGGCGAGAGCTGCCGGTGAAAAACAAAATATCCAAAAGAAAAGGGAGAAAAGCGCACTTTTGTTTCGCGGCGTCGACAGGACTTGCCCTCCTTCCCATTACCATAAACGCCACCGACAGACCGGTTTTCCCTATATATATACCCACTACTGTTTCTCGGATTAAAGGGCTCGAACCGTATATATAAATATATACTTAACACGTATCGACATAAAAGGATAATCCCACAAGGACCGCGCAGGTGAAGGGATGCTCGCACCAGGGAAAATCAAATGCGAATGATAACGATATAGAAGAGCCTTATCTCTTGATGATAGCGATGACTTTCTCTCTCTCTCTCTCTTGGATAATCTGTACCCTTTCGATACAGAGAGCAATGCACAGCCCAATAAATGTAGGGAGAGGGAGGGACGGAGGAAGGAAAATAAACCGAAAGCTCTAGCGTAATACCGCGCCGACCTTCGCGGAACCTTCTGCAATGAGCAAAAAAGCCCGGGGAGGTTGGGGGGAAAAAAAAAAGAGAAAGAAGAAGAGAAGGAGCGGAGTCATAACCGCTCGAATCCTCGTAACTCCGTATCATCATCATCATCGTCGTCGTCGTCCTCTCTGCCGCTCCTTCCATCTCTTCTGCACGCATTATTTCAACCTCCCCTCGTGCCATTCCCCTCCTGTTTCGGCTCTCTCTTACTCTTCCTGGCGCGCGAAAGGAGAGAAGGAGGGAAAGAAAAAAGGAAAAAGAAGAAGAGGTGCACGCGCTCGGCGAGAGAGGATCGAGTATAGTCTTGCACTGCACCGCGTAATTGGGGTCCTGTGCGTGGCATCGGCTGACCATCAGGAGGAAGACGAAGGAGACGAAGAAAGAAGAAGAAGATGATGCCGGCACTGGTAGGCGGCAGCCGGGTGGTGGGGGCCGGCCCTATGTAAGCCCTGGGTCAGCCATGGACCAGCGCATCTTCAGCCAGCGAAACGAGCCACGCGCACCGCACGGATTCTTGCTTGCTTGCTCTGTCGCGTGCGAGCTTCCAACGATTTTTCCTTGTTCTCGAATTTTCGTCTTTTTTTTCCACCCCCCTCTCTCTCCGATCTGCCAAGATCTTTACAATAGTTTTTTTTTACGAGTTTTTCGCCTACTTTTACAAAGTCGCTGCGCTATTGTAAAAAAAGGGAGTAGAAGAATAACAGAGAACGAGAGAGAGAGACTCGCCCAAAATGCGGCTCGTCGTGATCGCGTTGTGCCTGTTCGTGACTGTGGCATCTGCTGCGCGCCGGCCCGTGAGGAATCGAGGGAGGCAGTTGCGCAGAAACGAAGGTAAGTTGCCAAACTACACGCACAAGGTGGATGTGCATTTACTTTTCACGTATCGGGTTCGACTGCGCTCGTTTATATAATACACGCTGTATGGGTACATTCATACATAGCCGATCCGGAGATTGCGCGTGCGGTCATCGCAAGCTCTCTTTTGTATATGCTCGCGTTGCGCTGTACGTTACCGCGCTTGTATTTTTGGTTTTTTTTTTTTTCATTTTATTTTACGATTAATTTTTGGCATATTTATTATTATTATTATTTTTTTTTTTTCACTTAAAGTCGTTTTGATGTAACGTTTTATTGGGAAAAATAATTTACCGTAAGAGTTATATTTCGATTTTCGGCGCTTTGGCTTGCGCGATATTTACGCGCTTTCTACCCATACAGAAATTGAGACTCGAAACAAAAGTTCCTGCGTGTCATCTGTACAGTACGTGTATTTCTTTTTTTAATCGTATTTTTTCTTCGAAAGATACTTTTGCTTCTCATCGAAGGCATTGTTCAAGCGAATTCGATGGAAAAGCAAAAACAAAATTGGCAAATAAAAAAATAAAGTTTAAAAAAATGCGCGTTCGCAGTTGGGTCTCTACTGGAGCCCCAGTACTGGGATCCACAGCTAAGCAACACGGATCCTCTGGAGCCCGTGCCACCAAGCGTGTCGATCGAAGGCCGCCAGTACTACCAGCCCCAGGGTGGCTACGGCGGTGGCGGTGGTTACCCTGGCCAAGGAGGCTCGGGCGGATATCCCGGTCAGGGTGGAAGCGGCTCTAGTGGCTACCCGGGGCAGGGTGGGCTCCCAGGCAGCGGAGGCTCCGGCGGCTCGGGTGGTTCCGGCGGACAGCCAGGCAGCGGAGGTTCCGGTGGTTCCGGGGGCTCTGGTGGTTCCGGCGGGCTTCCCGGAAGCGGGGGCTCTGGTGGTTCCGGTGGGCTTCCCGGAAGCGGGGGCTCTGGTGGTTCCGGCGGGCTCCCGGGAAGCGGGGGCTCTGGTGGTTCCGGAGGTTCGGGTGGAAGCTCAGGCAGCGGGGGTTCCGGGGGCTCTGGTGGTTCTGGGGGCTCCGGGGGCTCTGGTGGTACCGGCGGCGATGGCAACGAGAACGAGATCCCGAGACCCATCCCCGGCAAGCCTGGCAAGCCTCAGAGACCTCAGGGCTGCTTGGGCGACAGAGGACAGTTTCCCAGTTCCAAGAGCTGCGCCCACTACCTAAACTGCTGGGACGACGTGGCCATTGAGCAGACGTGCCCCAGCGGTCTACTCTTCAACGAGAAAAAGCAGTACTGCGACTTTGCGTACAACGTCAACTGTGGCGGCAGACCCAAACCCCAACAAAGTAAGTCTCCTTCTCTTTGTGTATCAAATGCCATGTCCACTTGATTCGTATGGATAGATTAAACGCAAATATTTTCCACGACTTAAAATTAAAAAAAATTATTAACAATAATTAGGATTTGATGAATATCCGGGAGTTGGCGCGTGAAGCGCGTAAGGGACAAAGACCCCTAAATATAAAGAAAGGGTTGTTTTCAACAGCCTTAGCTAGGTTACTTGGTCAGCTTACGAAAGACCTCCGATACCCCCTATGATGCGCTTGGTAACTAGGTAGCTTAGTGGGGACCTCATTAACTAACGTAGTTAATCTATCAGATTTCTGATCTCTTCTTCCTAGCACCTTCTGAGGTGAGCTTGCCGACTCGACAGCCCTATTCGCAATGTGAATTGCTGCTAGCGACCTCTAATGGTTCCAAACGGGGTGAGCTCTCGGAAAAATCATGTAGTTTTGTACATAAAGAAGGCAAAAACCGTACAACTTATTTTGCTAAAATCTTGAAGTCAAAGTTTACTTGTACGGTCATATTTGATAAGGATGTATTCAGTAATTATAATTTTATACATGATGATTCATGTAACCACAAAAATGCCTGCAGGGCTTTAAACTGATATGCATTGCGCTTGCGCGGCAGATGACTAAGAGAATACAACGTGTTATTTTACTTGTTCTACTATGTATACCATAATCACTCACAACATTGCTGTTATTTTCGAAAATATTTTTATCAAACATAGTCATATGGATTCCATATTTCATAATCTACAACTTTTACGCATGTAACAGATCAAAATAGTATCAAGTTTTAAGAGTCAAGAGAAAAACAGTAATCGTACATAGAATTTAGTGCTTTAGTGTTCCGAGAGCTAACAATATTTTCGCCACCATGGGCGCTTCAATCGATTTTCTTATCCCCTCAAAACCAACTCACGTAGCGAATAGGGATTATATGGACGTGGCTCGATAGTTAGGTCATCTATACTATATATATTCTTGGTCTAGTTAATTTAGTTTTCCTTGCAAGATGTCCTTAATTTTACTCTACTATTTGAAAAGGTAAGAAAAATAGTTAGTAAAAATCACGTCCGTAATTTTTTAGTTTAAGTATATTCTGTTTAGGAATAATAAAGAACATTTGCTCTGAAAATGATTCAAAGGGCTTTAAAAAAAATCTTTTGTAAATTATCGAATGTTTATCATTGAAGAATCCAATTCTCACTTAAAAAAGAACTTCATATTATTTATTAGAGGAAATTTTTGTCTAGCTGCTTATGAGATATACTAGTATCGTTCACACCTCTCATGAGGTCAGAACCTTAAATACAAACAAAAAAAAATATACTAGTGCCATAAAACTTTTTATATTATAGTGCANAAAAAAAAAAGGCTAAAAGAGCGTAAAAGGTGCACAGGTGGATACTCTTTATGAGTAAATATTGAGACGGGCAGTCTTGCTTTCTTTATGAGCATTCGCGAGATGAACAAGTACACCTATATACTATTCATGTGGAAAAAAAAAGCAAACGTTTCTTGTCGCGGCGCACACAAAAATCGTTATTGTGCATGCAGAGCCATCGCTGCCCGGAGGATCGAAGCGCTGCCCGGAGCCGAATGGCCGCTACAGGAGCGCGACGAATTGCTCCGTCTTTTACGTCTGCGTCGCCGGAAGCCCGATCAAGTTCAACTGCCCCGAGGGACTTGCCTACAGCGAGGTAAGACGACAAGCAGGTCTCATCCTTAATTTTTTTTTTTTTTTTTCTTTTTTACCTTGCCCCCCCGTAACTCGTTGTTGTTGACTTTACGATGCCTCGTTTTGCAGGGTAAGACAATTACTCGGGGATTTACACCCTGCCATTTCTCGGACGAGCGCGCGGCCGGCTTTTCTCGTTCTCTCCCTCTCGTAGGCTTAATTGATTATTTTACCACGCTCGGGGCATATACTTTTACCGTCTTACTTTTTTTACACACTTCTCCGAGTGTAAGGGACGGGGGGGAAGGGAAGGAAAGGTATATATATACATATTATTGTCGTTTCCCCCCTTTTATTCTTCCGATACTTTAAATTAATCTTCCCTCTCTCTCTCTCGAGGAAGTTTATTTCTCTCCGAGCTGAAACAAAGACCCGAGTTTGGATGCAAGGGACGATCTCGGCTGAATGTATAAAAGAAAGAAGGAGGAGGAGGAGGAAGGAAAAAAAAAGCGTATTCTCGCGAAAAAGCAGCTTTATTTGTAACTTCATTTAAATAGAATTGAATTCATCGCGCGCTATCGGAGTACGCATCTGAAATCACAAGTCCGATCGTCCGGTGCACGTATACGAATACATACAATATATTATACTTGTGTAGTAATGTTGCACTCGTCGGGTGATGCGGCGTCGTATAGCGCTGTACAAAGTTTGATTTGTCGAGACGCCTCTCGGTGATCTTTCGGGGCAGGTGGGTCGTTTCGGACGCGTGGAAATTTAATCGCACGCGTTACGGACGGTGCACGACGACTTTGACAAGCGTATATGTGTGGCCTTCGATCGGTGCTTGGAAGGTAAGGGACGGAGGATTTTAGCCGATTGGCAACGACGGCACGTATCGTTTACGAAAAAAACAACAACCAAATGCATCTCTCGCGCGCCACATCCGTACCTACTAGTGCCACACACACCCACATTCGCGTCACGTAGCCGACTAGAATGTCTCTGTTAAAATCGTTTATGCGCGCGTATATATGGTCCCGACATAAATTCGAAACGACGCCGACGCCACGGCCTTCGGATTCCGGCCGAGATCTGCCTGAAATAATGCACAGGCCGCGGATGCTCGCTACAGGAGAGTAATCTTAATTTTCGTTCCTTCCCACACGCACAACGGACACTCGAGTATACACCAGAACTGTATACGACTCGTGTCCCTCTTTTTTTTTTGCCACAAAGAAAATAAATTTATATACATCTCTAAATTTAAATAAGAGCTTTCCCGCTTAGTTTTTTCGTTTCTGCGAGGGTGTATGCAGCTAAAACGTGCGTGGTTCTTCAAGGTCTCGAGAATCTCGACTCGGGGAGGAAAAAAAAAAAGAGTAGGTACATGCCTATATACACCGTATCGGCGGAACCTTATGCAACACTTTATTTGGCCTCTCTCGCATCCGAAAATGTATACCTTATATCTCGCACCTCTCGGTACACGTGTGCGAGCCAAAAGGTCGTTAATCCCCTGAAACGAGATACGTACCTGTACGCGGACCGTATATACATTTATATAACGTTCCTGCATGCATCGGGGAAGACTTTCAAAAACGTGTGACAATCGTGATTTTTTTTTTTTGTCCCCTGCCTGTTTTACCTCCACCGCGTGTATAGGAGACGCAGATCTGCGACTGGCCGTCCAAGGTGGACTGCAAGGGCGCCGCGACCCCGAGGCCGCTGACCACCACGGAGGCTCCCCCGCAGCCGTCGAGGCCGACCCAACGACCCCCTTCCTCGTCAACCGGAGGTAGCGGTGGCAGCGGGGGTAGCGGTGGTAGCGGTGGATCGGGCAGCAACGCAGGACAACAGCAGCCGGGCGAGAGCAACAACGGGGCCGAGGCGAACCCTAACCCGAACCCACCCTACAACCCGAACGAGCCCGAGGTGCCCGGACCCATCAACCCCTACACCACCGGCAAGACCTTCTTGCTGAGGGGCAGGCCCGAGTTTTGGCAGCAGAGGCAGGCCGTCCTACAGCCTGAGTTCGAGAGGGACCTCCAGGCCATCAAGGTACGTACAATTTTTACGCTTCCCTCACTCTTCTTTTTTTCCCCCCTCAAAAAGGATTTTTTTTTTCTTTTTGTTTGTGATGCTTGCGCTCGTTCCCCATGCTAACTTTTCCTCCGTTATACATGAATACACGCTTTTCTTTCGGATATTCATTACGGCTCTTTATGATGGATCGCACGGGTTGACGAGTTTGTATATATAATATACGTGCATTGATTGCCCGATAAAACGCAACAACTGAATTGGCGCTACTAATACCGCGACACCATGTATTATATACTGTTTTGGTGCTCAATACGTGACGTAATGATTGTACATGTCGTATGGTGATGGACAAATATATAATGAGGCACGAAAAATTATTGTCCAATAAGGAATCGGAGCACGAGGAGGCCGACCCCGAGTTCGACAGCTCGACGATACCAGCGTCGGCGAACCCGTGGGAGGTGTTCCACACGATACCCCAGGAGTTCGCGAAAGTACCGTGCGACAACGGCGAGGTGAACCGATTGACCGAGGCCTGCTCGAGCGTCGTGGTGTGCAGGAACCGCAGACCCCAGCTGATCAATTGCCAAACCGGCTATGCCTACGACTACCCCTCGGACTCGTGCCGGCCCTTCAGCATAGCCAAGTGCAGGTGAGCATTTATGGGCCCATAGGTGCTCTTGCACGCGCATTTTTTACTTGAATCGAGGACAATCATTTCTTTTTCTTTTTTTGTTTTTTTTTTGTTTCCAGCAGCAGTTAAGACGGAGGGTGGACAAGGAGGCGAAGCCTTCCAACGACTGATACTTAATATTTATGAAACTATATGAATAAACGCGATGACTGAGGAGCGGAAGGAACGAACGAATAGTCTCTTTTACTATTACTACTATTTAAATTTACTTATCTTAATATTTTAAGTGATACGCGATCACCCACACGCACGCATATCTCGTGATGTGCTTTATGTAAACATCACGTAGAACAGTAGCAGCGTGTATATACGCTCTGTCGATCGATAATCATTGTAGGTTTTTTTTTTTTTTTTCTCTTCGACGATTATAGTGCGAACGCAACTCTTTTATTTATGTATGATTTATTTTTTTTTTCATTTTTTTTTTTTCACTTCAAATAAATTATAAACAATTTTCAAGACTTGAGATTTACGTTGTTTTTATTTTCCATCCCCTGGTACGATGACTGCAGACTTTTGTGTCCGTACACCCTTGATCCTTTTCAACCATCCGCGGATTGCGGAGTTACGAGGAGAGTTTTATTGTTGGATTGGTGTGTGCTTAGTTTGGGCAAATAATATTATACGCATCGAGTACTTACTGTAGGATTCAAGAATCTTTAATTTTCAAACTCGAGTAAACGATTTACATGTTCTTTTTTTTTCTTTTTTCAGTACATTTTTCAACCAATAAAATATTGATCCGTCCACTTAATCATGTTTTTTTAAACGTAATAGGATGCTGGGACGTAGAAAAGTATTGATTATAATTGTATAAACTCTTTTTTAATCATCAAAACTGAGAAATTGTTTCAATTATTTGGTATCGACGCAAGTCTCAAAAACGCATGATAAAAATTGTATCGGCAATGTTTTTCGTCTCACGATTTCACACATCATACCATTGCTTTTCGTTTTTAAACAAAATGGGTTCCTTCGAGTAGGACATCGATATAAGTAAATATTTTTACGTTAATAATTATGCATGTATATGCACAATTATACCAATACGTAATAAATCTTACAAAGTTTATGATCTGTACACGAGTGTGTCTTAGCATACATATCTGAAAATATTCTATGATCAAGAGCTTCTCTTTGTTTTCGTTCAAATCGTATCAATAAATTTTGAATAATTATTATTATCGTTCACGTAAAAAATTTTTTTCATCAAAATAACAAACCCTTTTTGACCTAGTCTACATCTAATTTAGCAAAATTTAAGGTCCTTATGTAGGAACCATTTAGGCAAGTAATTGATACTTAAATCCTCATTATTAATCAAGACATGATTAATTTTTAACATTCATTACTAAAAAATATACAACGTTACCGACTGAGCTGTGAGAGTGCGCTCCGTCATGAATTGTTTTGTTTGTGTACATCAGGTGGTTGCTCTTCTTCTTCATTACAGCTGTTTAACCTGTCAACCTATAAATACACAGAAATCGTATGGATAATTTTATCGTCGTCATAAAAAAAAAAAAAAAATAACTGTTCTATAAATAAATCGTCTGCAATTGTAAATAATTTTCAAAGTCTGCTTTAATCGTATAGGAGAGAAAAATAAAAATTTTTGAACGTGGTCTCGAAAAATATTCAGGGCAAAAACAATGTTTGGCGATATACAAGATTTCGCTGGTGTTTGCTGGAAAGAAGTTCTGTCACTGGTAAACAACGCAGCAGTTTACATTGATCATGCAGCGTCAGAGTGCCTGCATTGGTACACAGGAGACAGGGCTTATTTAACTTTAAAAGATGCCGGTGCTTGTTCCATTCATGAACTGTCATTGTACAATTTTCATGTAAGTAGATATCATGTTTCTCCCATTTCTCATGAATGGTGAACAATTTTTACATTGTCATTGTAGAATCTCAAAGCAAAAGGAGCCAAAAAGGCAGTGATTATTTCTACATCAACAGACTCACTTTTTTACCAGCGTACGCTGAAACTTATTATAGAGAAAAATGATTTTGAAAAATGTTTAGTTGTTTTCACGGCTCATGAAAAAGTTTTACAGTACACTTCTATGATACCTGATGATTTGATGAGAGAAAGTAGTTATGATATTTTGAAGGGAGATATAATACATTGGATGAATGATAAGACACTTACAGAGGTAACTATAATTATTTAAAAAATTCATATTTCAGAATTTTTAGCATTCTCTTTGGACGTAAATACTATGGCATTGAATGTTTTTTTAGAATTCCCAAGTAACAATGATTTTCAAACCTATTTTCATAGCATGTTTGAAGAAAGATATATTTGTCACGCCACCTTTCGCAAATTTAATGCCTGCTGTTGATAAAGTGTTGATAGACGATTATGTATTGGAAATCGAATTTCTCATTAGTTCTTTACATATGCTGTTTACCCATTACAATGTTCAGGAAGACATTTATTCTTTGGGAAAACTTGCAAATCACGTTGCAAACAAATTAGACAACTTTGGGCCAGCCATAAATAGAAGAAAAGTAATTAAAAATATGCTTAAAGATTATTTTTGCTGCCCAATAATAAAATAATAACAATAATAATGACTTTTTTAGCGTGCAGTAGATCAAAGAAAGGTATCATTGATATTGATAGATAGAACACTTGATCTATCTACAGCCACTAGTCACAACTCAGATTCAATATTGGGTAGAATTTTATGTACGCTGCCTCACTTACCACATCATTACAATGATGTTGCTATAAAGATGCATTCTCTGAGTCTCAAGGGAGAGGTAATAATTTTTCAAATTACCAAATTAAACGAAAGCAATGGTTGAGCTTTGTGCTTTTTTGAAAACAGGAGTGCTCTTCTTCTTTTATGGTTCCTGGATGCTTGGCAAATAGGAATGAAGAATTAATGGATTTACTCATTAATAAAAAGCAAAAAGATGTTTTGTTGTCATTAAATAAAATGTTGATAGATATGTCATCCAGTAAAGACAGTCCCAAAACTAGTAAAATATCAACTAGAGTGACTGCTCACAGTTTGGAAAAAGGAGTTAAAAAATTTCGTGATTCAGAAAGTATTGATTCTTTGAGGAAAAACAGTAAAAACCTTCAGCTGATTGCTGCAGTTGTTCAGGCTCTCAAATCAAACAAAACTGCTCAAATTGAATTTGTTATAAGTTTGGAAAAATTGATTTTACAAAATTTGGCTGTTAGTGGAGACTCATCAAGTATTTTAACACAAGTATTTATCGTTATTGTTAACACTTTTTTCAGTTTTCAATTTATCCCCACATTAATTTTTTTTCATATGATAGTTGAGTAATATTGTAAAAACACGAGCATCAAGGGGTTTAGAAATGGAAAATTTACTTGTGCTTCTTATCCATCTTTATGCAATGGCTGGTCCTGATATAAAGTTTTCTGAACAACAAGAAAAAGCACTAAAGGAAGCCTTAGCTTGTGCAATATATGAAGATATAAAAAAATGCAATGAAAGTGATCTGGATGTTGAGCTTTCTGCATACTATCAGACATTGCTACTTCTAGGTGAATGATTTATTTACTGTAGTAATTGCCAAATTAATGAAAATAAAGTTTAACGTTTTTACAGGAGTGTCTGATGAGCAGGCATCTAAAGAAGCTGCCAACAAAATAACAGATAAAATAATCACAATTTTACATGAAATATTGCATCAAAGAGAGTCGTTGAAAAATTATAAGTAATGCATTTTTTAATTATTTCAAATGTATGTATGTGTTGAAATTTTTACATGATTCTTATGATTATTTTACAAAGGCAAGTTATAAGCAAATCAAACCCTCGTGAAATGGCGAGACATGTTGGTCTTTTGGAACATTTGGTTACAGATTTGTTGGACGAAAGCAAACCAACTATTCCTGATTTAGTTCAACAAAAGCCGTCGTTGCTATCTTCAGGCTTCAAGTATGTTAAAAAATGTTAAAAAAAAAAAAAAAAAAAATTACAAACAACGGGAATTGAAGAACTATTTCCTATTTTTCAGTTATCTAACAAAAGGTAAATTAAGTGATCACCCATGTGACAATCCATGGACGATTATTTATGTACTTGGAGGAATAACACCTGATGAGATTAAGACTGTTGAAGACATTATAAATAAGAAAGGCGCACATTGTACTAGGATAACTATGGGAGGAACTAGATTGTTAAATCCACTGGACATACTTGATAAAATTTTATTTACAAATATAAATACTTTATAAACTTGTGAAAAGCTTTGACTATTCTTACCTCTAACCATGTGAAAACCAAATTGTTCAATTCATAGGAAAGCTGCTTTTTGTCTTCTCCTGATTTGATATTACAAACAAGTTGGTTCAAATGTTCATTGATGCATAAACTTATCTCGTAGCGAAGTAATTTTTTTCCCTCATGCCACTCTAAAGTATGTTTCTTTGAAGCAAAATCAAACTGTTTTGTATACAATACCACCACCTTAAAGTCTATTGTAACTTTTCTTATGATTCTCAGAAATTTCATCAGATACGTGTTGTAAGACTCATCCTTTTTCTGCCAGTAATACGCGCTAATACTGTCGAGAACAATCATGCCCACTTTTTTGTTTGTCAACAGTATATTTTCCAACGAACTTAAAGTCAATAGCAATTGCTGATGATTATAACAGCTAGTAATTTTCAAATTGTTCAACAAACCTAGAACTATTTCATCAACTTTAATTGGTCCTTGAACATTCGTGATTTCATTGTGCAAATTTCTATAAAGCCTAGAAATCTGGAACTGATTTTCTGTGTTCAAAAGGAGTACCTCCATATTTAGCCCATTGTACTTTAAAGGCAAAATACACTTAGTAATGAGTTTATTCAGCAATTCATCAACCCCACTGCCAATGGTTCCTCTGATTTCTACCACATCATTGTTGTCAAGGCCTTTAAAGAATAAATCACTGTCCAAATCTTGAACGGACGGTCGGTCGATTAGTCTTGTGATTAACTGTAAACCTGATTCAACTATTGGCTCGGCACTCATTTTATTTGCGTAAGATTAAAACATTCATAATTCATGCAACAGCCAAATAAGTAGGTATGAAGGTATAATGCTATTTTGAACTTTGCGCGAAATTCATTCTAACCTAAACTGTAAGCTGCAATGTAATTGTTCCCGTTATTAAAATTTATTTAAATAAGTATGATTTTCTATCTCAAATCATTCCGTACCTAGTACTTAGTATCTGTATTTTGGCATGCTGATTTGTTAATTTTGAATCTAAAATCCCAACAAGTCTCACTTATTCCGCTGCAAATCATGAACATGAATTAGTAAATTGTATGTCCTATTCCAGGCAGTTCAAAAGTCTATAGTTTTATTATTTGTAAAAAATTAAAACTTAAATGAAACGCCACTAAAGTAGTACTGTAATATACTACAGTGAATGTCAGCTGTTGTATTCGTCAAGTTTCGGTATAGGTTTTTAATGTTCATAAACTTTGGGCCGCTGTGCTGTATCACTATATACATTAATTTTTTTGTGCATCAGCGCCATCTAAAAAACGCAAACTATTTTCAGATTTTCTAGAGAAACAATCTTGAAAAAAATCCCCAGATTCTAGGGATTTCTGGAAGAAGTAAATAACTAAATATATATAGATATAGTGTGGGTCAAAAATCGCAGCATAGATATAAGAATACTTATATAGGAGGTCAATTTTCGGGTAAACTCGTACTTCTTTTTTAGTCCCTTATCTTGAGTCATCTTTTTTAAACTGATTAATTTACGTATACATATTTGATCGTCATTCAAGATTTCTGTAACACAAATCTTGGTATGTCCATATTATATAAGTTAACTGTTTATTGGAACTATTAAGTTAAAAGGTTGTGCTTCCATAAGTCAGTAGTAAAAGGTCTAAAGTATTGTAATTTTGTAAATATGGTAGATTTTATAAGCCGTATAAGATAAGTAGAATATTTATTTACTTGTAGAGGTCGATTTACAGATAAAAGGTAGATTGTAAACCTGCCGCAAATAGCATAAAAAATGTTAACTATTTATCGTTTATTTACAAGATTATTTGCGGCTGGTTTATAATTAATAAAGTGACTTTACTGTAAATAGCAATGATTATTTGGATCAGCGCCATCTAGCGGTCTCAATTTTTTGGCCAAAAGTGGCTCCTAAAATTCTGAATCAGAGCAATCAGGATTAGAGCCATTTAGTTAATTATAAACCAGCTGCAACTTATGATGAAGCTATAAAATGAAAAAATAACGATATGTGTGTTTTTGGCGGCAAGTTAACTATCTATTTTCTACCAAAAAATCGACCTCCTACGTGCTTATACTTTTGAAGACAAATTTTCGAGCATAAGATAGATTGTTAATTTGCCGCCAAAAACACACGTATCGTTATATTTTTATTTTATAGCTTCATCATGAGTTGCGACTGGTTTATAATTGATTATAATTGATTAAATGGCTCTAATCCTGATTGCTCTGATTCAGAATTTTAGGAGCTACTTTTAGCCAAAGTCCGCGAAATCTGAAACGCTAGATGGCGCTGATCCACGAAATTGAAATTTTTTTCATTTGTAAACTAACTCCGGAATGTCGATCAAAAATTGTGTTAAATATCACGGAAATATTTAAGTTTATTAACGGAATCCATCATCAGTCTTGAAATCTATTTTTATATTTAATATCGATTCGCAAACCATTACCGTCGCTGTCACTTAAGTTCTAAATGTGGGGTTATTACAATTATTGTATGTCAAACTTGATCAACACATTTGATACGGTGTACTTAAGTCGCGATATTTATTAGCACCTATGTATAGGAAGTGCGCTGATTTTTTATTTTTATACTGTGGTGTTACCAAAAATGTTTGAAACGTAGAAATTGTGAAAGACGTAAAGTTTAGTTGAAAAAAAAAATGAACAATACTTGCTTTGAAGATACACTTTCAGTTTATTTTTCAAGACTATTTCCATATGACTATTTTCACAAGTGGCTCAGTTATGGCGATGGTAAGATTATTATTTATGCTTTACTATGACTTTACTCATTTGTATTTTATTTACTAGAAAAGACGTTTAGCCACAGAGAATTTGCATTTAATTTTGAGGGAGAAAGATTCTTGAGGCACCAAGCATACAAGGATATAAATGGTTTGAAACAAGTGATAAAAAAGTTGCACCCCGTTAAAATAGATATTGGAGCTGTTTTCAACATTTCGTAAGGCTGTGTTTAATCATTATTGTACTGTACAAATAATATCATTTACTTTCTTTTTTTATATAGACCCTTGAACAGTTTGAGAGAAAAGCGTTTTTATCCTGTCCAAAGAGAACTTATATTTGATATTGATGTTACTGATTATGATGATGTAAGAACTTGCTGTAAGGGAGTGGACATGTGCTCTAAATGTTGGAATTACATGATAGTAGCTGTAAAAATTTTAGATGCAGCCTTAAGAGGTATTAATTTAGATAGTATAAAATTACTATAATTTAAAATCATACTCACAAGCAATTGATTTTGTCAGAGGATTTTGGATTTGAAAATATCTTGTGGGTATTTTCTGGCAGACGAGGTATTCATTGTTGGGTTTGTGATCATAGAGCCCGTTTGTTGAAAAGAGATGCAAGATGGGGGGTAGCTACTTATTTGCAATTAGTAACTGGTGGTGAATTTATGAAAAAAAAAGTAACAATAGGTAGTAAGATCCATCACTCTGTCAAGTACATATCAGTGTTTTGAGCTCACCTTGTCATAACTTTAAGCTGATTATTAATATCAGTCATATTTGTAGAAGAGCCCTTGAAGTCATTCAACCAGTTTTCATAAGCATGTGCGTTGAAAATCAAGACATGCTCGGTACCGAGGAAAGGGTATTGAAATTTCTGGGAATCATTGCTGATGATGAAATGCGTGCAGAAGTACAAGACCTATTTGACGAGCATTGTACTAGTCTTACAAAATGGAATGCGTTTATCAAATTTTTTAAGAAACAGATTGAATCAGTTTGTACTTTTATTTTATTGATTGAAATTTTTTCAACTGTGTTGAAATTTCATTGTTCAATTAATTTTAGGAAAATGAAAAATGGTGCAAAACACCATATCTTATTGAAGAAATCATGCTTCAGTATGCATATCCACGATTAGATATAAATGTAACATTGGGAATGACCCACTTGTTAAAAGCTCCTTTTTGTGTACACCCAAAAACTGGAAAAATCGGTGTTCCTATTGATCCAATGGATATTGATGATTTTGATCCTTACAACATCCCAACTATATTAGAGCTGTTTGATGAAATTGATAAATTTGACAAACAAGCAACAGAGCAAGGAATGACCATAGAAAAATTGAAAGAAATAGAAGATGTAAAAAAAACTAGTCTTGAAAAGTATATGTGCATATTTGAAAATTTCTTACAGGATTTGGAAAATACGTTCAAAATAACTGCACCAAACGGTAGGATGATTTGCAACTTTTTATTTCTCATTTTGAAAATTGATTCATTATGTATCAAGTAGAAACTACCTACTAAAAAAGTCTGCTTTACATAACATTTTACCCAAAATTTTGCCATTTCATTTCAGACATTAATTTGGAGAGTGATTAACGACCAGAATTTATTTATTTTCAAGAAATCACTGCCCAAAGTTAATAGTACAAATGGTTAAATAAAAAGACTCGACCAACACATTTTTAACAAGAACTTGACAAAAAGTAATAAACTAGTCATTCAAATAAACCGCAAATCCAACTGAAAACTCACTGGATAAAATCGACGTCGTCAAAATATCAGCAGCTCCGTCTTGTGGCGCCACCTAAAACTACCCCCCTTACCCTACCCCTTACCATCGAGGCATTGCCGGTCCGTGTTTGGTCATCCGCTATTTTCGTGTGTATTTTCACATTTAGTAACCTGCAATAAGTATACTTATAATCACAGAAAAGATTGTTAATTAACGAGTCTAGTGAAGTTTTCCCGTAAAGAAAGAAAAATGTCTGAAATATCATTAACTGAACAGCCGCACATGCAGCAAGTCGACCTGACCCAGCTAACTTTGCAGCAATTGACTCAAGTTAAGCAGCAACTGGATCAAGAACTTGTAGTTTTTCAGGAATCTCTGCAAAGCTTGAAAATCGCCCAGACCAAGTTTCAGGAGTCTCACGACTGTCTTGATAAGTTCACACCAGAGGCCAAAGGTGAGTTGACTGTTGATGGTTGTGTAGTTGATAATTGATAAACTCAGCAGTCTACTAATGTAAAGATAGTACTAAGGTTAGGACACTGAATATTTTTAAAGTTGCAGTAACAATTATTTAAACATTATGTGTAGCTTGTACTAGAGGATGGATATGTTGAATTTTACTATTTAATGAAAGAAAATAACGTCAGCATCTTATGTTGATTTTTATTGCAGGAAAGGAAATTCTGGTACCTCTGACTGGATCAATGTACGTGCCTGGAAAACTTACCGACACGGAAAAGGTTCTCATTGATGTTGGCACTGGATACTATACCGAGCAAAATATACCTGATGCACAAGAATATTTTAAAAGAAGAGTTACCTATGTAACACAGCAGATGGAGAAGATTCAACATATAGGTCAAGAAAAGAGTAAAATTAGAGAAGCGACTGTTGATGTTTTGGAAATGAAGATACAAACTCTGCAAAAAGAAATGGCAGAAAAAGCATCATGAGCAGGTTGAAGGAATTTTGAAAAAGAAAATTGTGAAACAATGAACAAACAAGTGAAATGAAATGATATTTAAAGGACAGTATTGATTGATTGCGTGAGTTTGTGTTAAAAATTAATATGTAATTTATGCTCATCATGAATTGTTTCAAATAATCACTCATTAATTTTTTTCCTTGAAACAAATTGTATTTTTACTCTCTTAACACATGTAACAGCTTTTCATAAAGTTTATAATTATTATAACATTTGTTTTCATGCAGATGCTCACAAATTAAGTACTGTGTACTGTTAGTTCAGTAGGTTGAAAAAGTAATCAAAATATTGTTTGAAAATGATTTTCTCAAACAATACTTTGTTTGATTAATATATGTATATGTTTTAAAAAATATGACTGTTAATTCATACTCCTCCGGTTACGGTTTCCTTATTTACACGAATAGTTTGGTAAATTATGAGAATTGTGAAGGATTAAGGATAAATGATGGACACAGGTGTTCAATCAATGAATATATCAAAGGTCAATAATTTTTATTAGTTTTTTTCGTTCACTTGAAACAATATTTCGTCAGAAACAATAACAACACTTTGTTAGTTTGAGAGCTCGACAGGACGTAACTCACACAGGCAGTGATGACTTTTCGACAATCAACGGAAAAAGCTGCAGTTAAAAGGATTAAAAAATATTCATCGCGTTCATCATTATTATCTTCCATACGCTCTAAAAGAGACATCTTTTTTTCCCCCTGATTTTCAATTTTTCGAACAAACATCTTATTTATTTGTCTACTTGTATGCATACATGTATAGTTGGATATTTTATGGTTCGAGTTACAAATTTGCGTCCAAACGCATACGCGCTCCCATCCCTCTCGCCATTAGTACAGACAGTTTTCGCTAAATTATTATTATCTATTTACACAAATAACATACGCTCGATACGTTGATTCGATGAAACGCTTTGGCTTTTTAAATATCTCTTCGCCCCTTCTCCTCCGACACAACGAAATTCACACTCTTCCACCCTACGTGTGAACATAATTAGACTCTCATACAGATAGTAGTTAATAGTTGTCTCCCCCGTATGATTTCTCGGCTCGCGAGGAATCCAAAATCTTGGCAAATGATTCGTCGCACGCTTTTTTTCTCCCCCACCCCATCTCCTCCTCGATCGGATATCATATTCTTGTAATTTTCCCTCCAAGTTGACCGGATTTTTCCTTTTTACTGACGTTATCTTGCATTGGCGATTACGACGACGACGGCCAAAGCGAACAGCCAGCTTTTGGTACTGCTTTTCGCCGTGCCTCCTGAAACAAACACGAGCCACATTAGGCCGCTGGTAATGATTTTTTTTTTCGCGACTCTATCGAACACAACACCAATAATTCTACAAAAAACAAAAAAAAGAAAAAAGAAAAAAAACTGTTTGTACTCTTTGGACCAAAATCTGATGTCAATGGCGGTGATGATCGCGCTGTATGGATAGAAAAAAAAAAAAAAAAAAAAAAAAAAAAAAAAAAAAAAGAGTTGAAAGTAAGCTCGTATGCTGATGATGATGTGTTATTACTATTGGGGTTCAAAGTAGATTGTAGCGTGCCACCTGGCATACTGATGGAGGCGAGCCTCGGGCGTTCCTCCTCGACGACGACGGTCGCCTCGTTACGGTAGAGCTGGAAGACGTTGGCGCGACAGGTGATGTGCAGCCTGCCGTTGACGAAGCTCTCGGACGTGAGCTCGAGCTCGAGCTTGGCCGTCACCATCGTGCGATTGTCGTAGTTCATCGACGTGTTTCTGATGTAGCTCGAATTTATCTGCAACATTAACGTGTCACATACATACATACATACATACATATATACACAACAAATAATGGCTCGGCAAAGCCTTGATTAACAAATCACTAATTTCATAACTCTATACCTTCCCGTTTTGTTGCACTGAACTTAAATCTTAAAAACAGGCCCATTTTCACGCATGGCGTTTTATCTCAAACGAGTGGTGATGATAAAACCTGGATTTGCAGTAAAAGTGGAGGAGAATAACCAACACCTCCGCAAAAACCAGGCTATACTTATTACGTGTACATAATAGTTGCATCGCGGTGGAAAAGAGAGCGGTCGCAGTGATAAGAACAAACACGCGGAAGCTGCGGCTCATCTATTTGGAGCCAGAGGAGCAAATCCAAGGGATAAGTCACAGATGAGGGGACGTACTTGAAAGACGACGAGAATAATATGTGATCGAGCGTGCGATCGGAGGGAACAACCACACTTACAAGTATTATAACTAGTGGGAGGAAGAGAGCGAGGATTAAAAATTACATTAGATTAGGTGCATCGCAAGTACAGGCTGGACGATACTTTGTCGACGACTAAGTAGTAGAGATATAGCGTAATAGATTACAACATTTGGATCTACCCGACGCAGGGATGAAGATCGTACAGGCGTAAGTAGACGAGGTAACATGTAATTGCACGCGAGTTTTTTTTTTCTTCGCGACTCGCGAGTCGTGTGCTCGAGGAGGAGCAGAAAAAGAAATAATACCTATACTCAATATATAGAGACATATTTATATTAGCGAACGAGACCGTGAGAACATTCCACGTGTGGCTGAAACGCAGAGTTTGGATCCAAACGATTGACATTTGTTTATCTCTCTCTTTCCGGAGTATACTTGCACCTATAGTACACACGGGTGTGATCTCTCGAGAAAAACCAAGGCACGAGTGTATCGTCTGATGGCTAAATAAACTCTCATTACAACTCCCCCCGAGCTTTTTTTGTCTCCTCCTCCTGCAACTAAGTTATCCGAGTGGAAGAAACTCCGTGCTCTCCCCGACTTTTCTTTATTAATAAACTAGCTCGGCTCGTGATTGACAATGTACACGTATGGCGACGCGCTCCCGCTGATCCCGAGTTACTTGCGTTACTGCTCGTATACGACCTATACATATAGAGCTTGCAGCCGTTCCGATACATCAGCAGGTACTATTTTTTTTTTTTTTTTAACTTTGTCACGGCAGCTAATGAGCAATTATTATATTACATAAGTAATTAATTTTTCTTTTTTTTCCCCACTGAGTCTCAGTTTCATTTTTTATACCGTGAAAGGTTTAAAGCTCATCCATAGAAGCCGTTATCGGTCAGGAGGAAACAATTAGATGATCATATTTTTCGTTCACTCGTACATATACGTATTTGCGCCCGCTAATTTTGTTTGCCTCCGACTCGACAACAATAAAGTCGCACTTTTTACGCTACAATTATAATTATGTGCACGTACGCTCGGACAAAAACTGAATGAAAAAAAAAAAAAAAAACCTCGTATACCGACTGACTTTGTTTCTCGTTACCTATTCTTCTCCAAGCGGAAAACAATAAGGAAAAAAATGGTTCTCTTTCCATACAGCCAATGTTGAACACGTAGAGCTTGCAGAGCTTGCGCGCTCCAATGACGCCCGTACTTTTCTCTTCTATGTATACTTGAAACGTACAAGAGCCTGTCAATGCGTATGTGCGTTTCGTGGGATTTTTGGTGCAATGAAAAATTTATGTGGGTGACATTCATCTCGAGAAAAACCAAAGGGGTCCTTTTTTTCTGGTATCGCACTGAACTGAATTTTAAATTAATGATAAAAAATCAAATTACGCCTTCTCGCGGAATGCAACCCGATTTCCATGGAACGATCGAAGAGCTGCGTCCAACTCTTTGTATGAGTATGCGTGGGTATGTGCGCGCCCGAGAGGCCAAAAGAAAATAAAAGGCCACGCGCAAACTGCTCCGGCTCCTAATTTGACAGTGAAAATTTATCGAATCTTCCGCACTGGTCGACGTTAGCGAGGTTGTTCGCAGCGAAAGGGGGGAAAAAAAAAACTTGGCGTCCCGAGAAAAAGAATAGTGTATAGGTAGCTCGGATGGGCTGGGAAAAGAGGCGGTGGCTCATCCCTTGGCTGAATAACGACTTTGGCTAATGCGTTTCCCGGAGAGGCGAAAAGTGGTTTCGCCTGTATCTCGCGGCCACTCTCGCCCGCGTACGTATACGTATACGTACATACATATATTGCCACCCTCGTCGACGCTGCGCAACGCGACCGACCCCCAGATAATCTCTTTTCCCTTTAGCTCAGGATTTGCGCGATATAAAATGCGCAAAAAGAAACCTCTGCCCCGTCGTTGTGTAAAATATACATATATATATATATATATATACACGTATAAACACCCTCTTGATTTTGCACGAGCTAATTTTGCGTTTGAAAAAAAGAATAATAAATAAAAAGCCGGAATAAATTCATGAGTACAAAATGCCATCACGTAGGAGGTAGTTCAGCCGAGTTGCCATAAGTTCATGTTCATTCAATATTCGAAAAAGTTTTTCAACAAAAATAGTTTTATTATTGATAATGGAGATACAACGGTATTTTTAATCAAATAAAATAATTGTACATTCCAGTGGACTTAAAATCACCTCGTTACACGAGTAAATAATACGTTAGTCACATAATATTCACATGTGTTAGCCAGTCGGAACAAAAGAATAGCTGATATAGGCTTTCCGTGTGAATAACGTATTTAATTTCGGGTAATCAATATTGACCGAGAACCTCGTCATGTTATAAAAAAAAAAAAAAAAAAAAAAAAACCTTGTAACTTATAGACATAAAACTCGACGAGCGAATAATATACCTTCACTTTTGAAAAGGGATACAAATCGCGCTCCCCTTCATACGATTTCAGCGCATCGTATTAAGCGCACAATTTTCGATGAAAAGCTCATTATTTTAATAAAACGTGGACTTTTTAATCAACGAAGCCAACAACAAAATCAAAAATCACTCGACCGAACGTGGTGCTGAAAAAACTGAGAGGGATAACGCAACTCAGTGGCTGTGCAGTATAAATATACGCGCGAAAGTGATTGCAAGCGACACCATTTAAGGCGTCCCTCTCTCTCTCTCTCTCTCGCGGGTGCACGAAAGAGGTGCAGGTATACCCCCGTCTGTGGGTATAAAAAAGGCAATAATGGCTCGTATTATCCTCGCGAAAATCGCTGCGGTGCGGCGGGAACTTGCACACGTACCTATACCGGTTTTTCTAGTTCCGAGTGGGTTATTTGTAATACCTACATGTTCGTGCTGCACCTACCGTATGCCCATTGACGGTCCAGGTGATGTTGGCCGGCGGATTGGCCGGTGGTGCGCTGCAGTTGGCTCGCACCGTATCTCCCAACGCGTATCTCAGCTTCTCCGTGCGCACTGTCACGTTACCCTCCGGCAATCCTGAAAGAATGACCAATTTTAAGTGGGTCTTACTATTCAAGCTGCACATTGATTGAACAAATTTTACGAGTCCTCTTTGTTTAGTTGTGGCTTCGTATAGTAATGTCGATTTATTTTTTGGAAAAGCCTATATATATATCGGGATAGTTGTGCCATCGAGAGGACTCGGTTCTCTCTGTGTTGGATCACTAATTGCGATCGATCGGCAGAGAAGAAAAGAAAAAATGTGTAAAAAGCTTAGCGAGTTTTTTTGTTCAATTGTTCAGCTTTTTATTTTTACTTTTGTATTGTAAAGTAGAACAGGTTTTTTTTTCTATTGAGACATTTCACACGAACAAGCAATCTAAAGCTTTTTTTCATAACACCATAAATCCCTCTATGTTTTTTTTTTTATAGTTTTCTTTTTCCATCATAATAAAAGCCGTTGGAGATAAAATCGTTTTTTTCACGCTCTCAATTATTATAGGTATCATCGTCGGCGATGCCCATTTTTCGATTATCCGTGTTGCACAAACAATCATTAAAAAACCATCATAGCTTTATCGATAAAATTTCCCAGTGCACGTAATAAAGCATAATATGATATCACAGAGGTCCAATTTCGACACATATTGTATCGATGATGGGCCGCGTTACGCCACCGAACGAAATCAAATTTTCAAATTAAGCCGATGCTCACATTTGTAATGTACACGCTTTGGAACAGTATAAATTTACCGAGCTGAGCCATAAACCTCTCTCGGGCGTTCAATAAAAAAAAAAAAACAAAAGAATAAAGTTCATCTATAACCCTGGGCAGGTCTCGTCATTTAATTTAGTGAAATGGAGATACGCAGCGCGGCATTGTGTACGGGGGAAAAAAAAGAAAAAATACGCGCTCCCGCAACAATGAGTTAACGGGATCTTTTTTTTTTCTTTCATTTACTCGTCCTTTTCGTTGTGTATTATTTTTCTTTTTTTTTTTCCCCCCGACGGGGGCGAACAGCGCGTCGTTTTGCCCCGACGTGCGTCCCTCTCTGCTCTTATTTTCCCCTTCCTAATTTCATCTCGTTAACATCTCCGTAGACATACGCCGTTCGGGGATGAAGAAGAGCCCCACCGTAAATTTTCAAGCCGCTTCGCATTTCCAACTTTTACACGTGCGAGCATCGCGTATTAATATTTGGACGATCAACATTAGTTTAGCCAAGCGCTTATACGCAACTACGAACTTTGGCTTAATATATTACGCGCTGCAGGATGTGTTGGCGCGTTATCCGTACGTAGAGTAGGAGAATACATATTATACCACCGGTCAAACATTTTTTTCATCCTTTTAATTTACGAACCAACGGTTCAATGAAAATAACCGACGGTTATTACGAAAACGGCGGATGATGACCGCCCGATTCGGGATGTGAAAAAAAAAAAAAATATTACCCGCGCCTCGATATTCCGCCAAAACCACCGACACGCGATAGCTCCAGTGTGTATAGGTGCGCGCTGTTACATTATACGTACAGGTGTATACGTGTGCTGCAATCCACTCGTGAATTTGCGTAATCAGACCGGACGCGCCGAAGCTCTCGATTTTCATCATCGATATTCCATTCGAGCTCCGTCGCTTCGGCCATTTTCCCCGTACATTTGTCAGTTTCCCCCGACACCGAATTGCCCTCTTTGCTCGTGCATGCAGGAAAAAATTGCACCTCTAAATTCGATCGAAACTCGGAGGGGGGGGGGGAAATGGTAATTTTATGACACAACGAATGATGGAAAAAAAAAAAAAAAAGAAAAAAGTAGTTGGATCCCGAACGCGTTTTAATTAGACGCGATTACGATGTCGTTGAGCAGGGAGTTGGCTGCATTACGCAGTTGGAGCCTCGATCTCGAGAGGGCACGCTAATTGCAAGCAAGAGCGACCGGATGAATGGGAAAGAAGGAAAAAAAAAAAAAAAAAAAAAAAAAACCAAAAAAAGAGCCGCCCCCGGCGGGCCAACCTTACTTTTTCCAGCATCTCGGGCGCTCACACCCCCTTCACCTGTATACGCGTATCTATGTACGCGTATACTGTCATTTGTCTGGCCTTCCCCCCTCCCCCCCATCCTTTCTTCTTTGCACCGCCAACGTAAGTATAAAAAAACCGGGTGGCATCGGTAGCTCTGTTTCTTTCTTCTCCGTTAGGGAAAAGGAGTACAGGTAGGTATAGGAGATCGGCTAAATCGGCAAGAGGCACGGTACTTATCGGTTTCCTTTTTTGCGCGATTGTTCGTCACCACGTTGCGGCTACTGCACTTTAGAATTAATTACCTTCGTGACCAGTGATGGTTTGGATTGTTTCTCGAGTCCGATTTCTACCACCGTACACCCGATGATTACAACATATATATTAAGGCGCGACACTCGCGTTCTTCCCCTCACTTGTATAAATGCTTACCTCGGGTTCATTGTTTACGGCATCCAATGTGCTCTTTCCCTCCATTGATTTTTCGAGTTTATCGCGAGTAAACGACCAAACAGTCCGTACTGCCAATTTGTGTGACGGCGACGGGGGGTGGGGGGGGAGGGAAACTGGGTCGGCGCGCTGTTGAACTTTCAACTCGTTAATCGATTCGCTAAATACACCGGTGCCACTCCTGCCCCGCCTATTTCACGATTTCCAATGGCTTTCTAATTGCGAGCTCAATAAATAGCCCGATCCTCTAGATATTTTTTTTTTCCTTCTACCTTCCGATGTACATAATATATACATACATACGCATGATCGTCAATACAATGGGGTCACGCGTCACGGTATCGTGATGGTGTACATGTGTCATATACTCACTGACGACGTGCATGTAGCTCCAAACGAGTTTGGTGATGAATTTGGGCGCATCCGTGGACACCTCGCACTTGTACTTTCCCGTTTGGTTAGCCTCGATGTTGTTCAGCACAACGCTGTGGTCGTCGCTCAGGTTCATCTGAAACACAACCCAACCGGCACGTTGAACAATCGTTGGACCGAGCGATAAACCATACAACGCACACGTCCTTTGCTTTCACTCGCCGAGAACGATTCGCGTGTTTTACCCGAAACGCGTGTCATATATACATACACTACATATCCTACACGAAGCGCCGTCAACGCAGAGTCCCGGAAGCGCGAGTATATATATATATAATCTGGTTCACACAGCCGTCATGTGCCGGCCGTCGAGCGCAACGTCGACAAGTACGGGAGCGAGTGTGGAAATCCTGGCGCGTCCGTGAGACGTGGATTATATAATACCCAAAAGCAGCCTATCTCTCGTCAGCGACACACTCGCCCGCGTGATGGGGTGGAATATGGTTTATATATACGCCACGCAAGGGGTATAGACGGAGTTAACTATACGAGCATCGTCAAGCACAGGTGATGGTCAGCGCTCTCCCCTCGTCCGAATCCGCTATTTATTAAGAAACGATTGGCCGGTCCTGCCGGATATACCTATAATGCCATTGCACATGGTACGCATACCCACACCGACGAGAGTGAGAGAGAGAGAGGCGATTAATTATTCACGTCCCACGTTGTCGCTGGCAATGCACGACTCGATGCAACTGTATATACGCCACATGCGTTTCTAAATGCTGCAATCAATTTTGGTTTTGCCCGGGGAAAACCGCGGTGTATATAGGTACACACCTGTACTGTCCGTACCAACCGGCGCGATGTATCAGCAGCCCCCCGACTCGTCCTCCGGCTTGGAGAGAGTATATACGTGCTATTGTCAGCCGAGCCCTGCCAAACTTATTGCCCACGTTTCCGAATTGGCGAGGAGGAGTCGCGACTGGGGAGGTAAATTATAATACGCGAAATTACAGGACAAGAGTGCGTGGTTTTTCTCCTATATCGGATGGAACGCACGAACATAAGACCCAACGAGGCAGGGTGGAAGAAACAGAGCCGTGCCTCTCTCCCTCTCGATAAGCCGCTGACTTTTCGAAGCTTGTACACAAAGGTGTATACAATGCGTTGTAGTTGACGAGCCAATGCATTATCCATGTGTATACGAAACACACGGGTCATCGCTGCGTGCCATAGGTTTGAAAAATGGCAAAAAAAAAAAAAAAAATCGTCAGATGCGGTGCGAAATACGTACAGCGCATACATATATCCGGCGAAAATTCCCAGGTAATCGATAAAACAACAATTATATAGGGTACAATTGCAGGAATGGGGGAAGTTTAGGTGTGCGTATATATAGGTGGTTGATACACCCCACGCAACTCGCGAGTCGAAACGCGTGAGGACGCATTTTAATAATGCAATGCTACGTGTATGGTATAGTGCCCGCGGATCGTCGCCCGATCGCTGACGACAGCGCATTTATCGATCCGTACGTCTATAATATATAGGTTTCGATAAACGCGGGGGGATTTCGGTCTAATTGAAAATCAAGTGCGACCTTATTCCGAGAACGACGAACGCTGTTTGTTCGACAAGTTTGATTTTTCAGTTCTCGTTTAGCGCCCTCCCCGATTTTTCCGTGTTTACCCTTGCAGTCCTCTAGCAAACGTTTCGGCGAATTTACTTTTTCTCTTATTTCAACGTTTATTTATTTATTTTTTTTTTCATTGTACGCTTTCGACTCGGATTTTGTTGATTTATTGTTATCGCTTGTGCGAGAATTTCGGTGCCCGTTGATGTGTTTTTAGCGTAAAGCCTCGACAAGTTTTAGTTGAAATTGAATTTGCACAAAAAATCATTACCAATTATTATCGCGTACCCCACGTGACGAAAAAGTAAAATAAACGGCGCTCGACGAATAGGGTACCAATCACAGGGTACATTGGATGGGTAAACGTCAAACGCGACCTTCCCCTACCCGACGAATAAAGCTCCCCTGATTTTCAATCAATTAACAGGATTACGACTTACCACCCGAGCGCTATTGCCGATCGCTTTTCACGCGCTCCCGGCCCTTTCGCGGAATATTCAAATTAATTACACTCATGTCCCTTAACGAGACATTATTTCCCACGGCACCCGATGATTTACGCTTTTACGATTTTGGCGCCATTAATTAACGCGCCATGGGAATTAAGCTTTAAAACCTGTATTCGAATGAAGATTTAATGCGAGATCTGCATCATTGACAATTGTACGTAATTTTGTTGTATCCACATGTACATCCGAAATATAATGGCACACGCGTTCGTATATTCAGCCCACGAAGGATTATTGGACATCGCGTTGTGGTAATCAAGAAACAAAAGTCAAACCCATGAAGCGTTATTTGTCGCAATATGTATATCTCCTGCAGGATGGGATTAGTAAATTATCAATATCATTTGCTGGTGCGATTGTATGCGTGTGCAAAATGAAACGATTAAATAATATGATGAAAATACTCACGTCGATCTTGACGCGCGGTAGAAAAGACACCTGAGGTGGCAACTCCTTCGGCAGGAACCTGTAGAATTCCTTGCCACCCTTGTACCATTTGACCGAGTAGAGCGGCATGGAGTGTAGATTGTAGTCGCAAGTCAGCTTGACCGTCGAGTTCTCGACCACGGCCACCGGGACTCTTATGGACACGTCGATTTCTCCGAGAGTACCTGCACAACGAGCAACAATGGACTCATTAAGTACGAAAATTTTTACTTTTATTTTCTCTTGTTTTCAACTTTGAGATAATATATAATTATTCGAATTAAATGTACACTTGGTAGATAGAGTGGTCATCAGTTTTTTAAGTGACGCTCGGAAAACCGAGTGCACGGGATATTATATCTTATATGTAATATCGAAACATCGTTACCATGACTCTCCCGTATACAAGTATGTACAATCCTCCGGTCTGAGTGATATACAATGGGAGTGGGTATACAAAATTACTCGACCTTTCCGCTCTCTCTCTCTCTCCCTTTTGATCTTTCTGTGGTCTCCGACCTCGAGCTGGATGGATACACTCAACGCCGTATGCAGTGCAATTAGATTAATTAGGATGCGTTGAACGTGGCTGCCGAGCTCGGAATATACATATCATCATCACCCCCTCTCCCCCCCCCATCCCCGAGGGAGGATCAGGTCTCGTTCGAGGGGCCTTTCGTGCGCGCTAGTTACTCCTCGCTCTCTGGCCGAGCATGTGCCTCTAATGCCGAAGCTTCGAGCTCGGGGAGGGGAGAAGGCGCTCTCTTAACTCGTTTCATTAATTTCACGCTCGCGCGGATCGCTTTGGCCCACTTACGATTTATTTTTACCCCCCTCTCCCCCGTGGCCCGGCTCTTTTTCGTTGGCTCGATGCTTGTAAACAAACTTTATCGCAACTCTGACCAGAAGCAACGCCCACCGTCTCCCTAGAGGGTCTGTATATATATGTGTGTGTGTGTGTGTGTGTGTGTGGATACGTGCTGTTTCGAGCTTTTGCTATTCATATGAGGACGTTTTCCAGTACTCACAATTTCTTGTACGTAAAAATACTAATGTTCATACCATCACATATCTCAAGTTACAGGAACTTGCTTTGAATCGTAGAGGCTTTTGGATGCAATGTTTGATGCAAAAAAATGAGATTGTTTCAAAGGAATTCGAAGGAATTTCAAAGGAATTATTAGGAAAACAACTTGGCTTCGCTTTGTGTACGTGACGCGACCTAGAGTGCATGGCTACAGCCCTGGAGCGGTGCTTTGACCATCGCAACGCATCACATGAGAGCAAAGAAGTAATATACGTATGGCGCGCAAACTTGAGTTTGAAACAGCGATTCACAGTGGCACGAGACGAACTGTGGCAAATTTCTTTTTTTTTTTTTTTCCTTAAAACACAGTTATTTACGGCGCAAGTTCTGTTGGGGTGCGTGTTCCTTTTTCGATCACCGCAAGCGTATACTTCAAAATAACAATAACCTATCGGGTTCATTTCGAACGATTCTTCTATTCTGTCTGTTTCGTGGCCTTCAAATGAAATTCAGCCAGTGCTTGAATGATTGCACAAGGAATTCGATTGCCAGAAAAAAACGCGTACGGGCAGGACGGCTTATTGATAACAGCATTTATCCATCAACCTGTATACATTCGACTGTATATCACCCTTTTTTTTTTTTTTTCGTGCACGTAGAAGCGTTGATTTCGATTAATTTGTTTCACATAAAAATTCGTTAGCATTGCGGCTATTGAATGAAAAATTCTGTATCGTCGATTCGTTTGATCCGCTTCGCCAATTGGTTTCGATAGAAAAAAAAAAAAAAAAAAAAAAAAAAACAGGCTTCATTAATCGATACAAATCGAGTTCAATTAGGCCGACTGATTGGCCGAGTGGCGAGCACTTTTAATTTCGTTAGCTCCTTCGTAATGGCGCATCGGATTAGTGTCGATAATCGAGAACCCGGCGTCACACCATCCGCTCCAAATTAGGGTCAAAAATATCGTTATACCGATCCTATACACTATACCAACGACGAACGACTATATCCCACTTGGCGTTATAGCTTTACCAACTGTATAATCCATTTTTTTTTTTTTTCAACATCCACGGCAATATTTGTACGATAATTATCTCGGCTTACGGCTAATTATCAATTCAATGGCCGAGACTTTCAGATCGGAAGGCCATAATTGATTGTCTCACGAGGAACGATTTGCCTTGTTCGTCGTTCCTCTGTAACACAGATCTCGGATCGAAATTCCTCCCTCGATTGCATAAACTCGCCGGAGTTTTGTCTGCAAGACGCGTGTGGTGTAAGTGCTTCGGTACCACCAATGTGTGCCGTAGGCAGGCGCGCATCAAGCAAAGTGCCCCACTCGATTGATACCATCGCAGGCAAGGAGAGTCGAGTGGAAGCTCGAGAACGACAGATATGATCTCGAAGAGGCCGAGAGACGACGGGATCCGATGGAAATCGAGCTGGCATGTACTATATAGGCAGGCAAAAAGCTTGAAGGCTCTCTCTCTCTTTGAGGCTTGGAGAACACCGTGATGGTTCTTGTAGTTGATATTTTGCTCATAATGTATACATGGTTGTCGATAAAAGGTACAGAGAGGCGACGGCAACGGTTTTCCATTTCCCCGTGAGCTTGGGCATTTCAATGGTATAGGTACTCGATGGGAACGCGAGGTTTGTCCTTTTTCAGAGGTGTAAACGTGAAACTTGCTCGTGAAAGGGCTACTCAATGTGATCAAACAGGACGAATCTGATCGAGTGTCGCGAGGAGCCGATGATTTCAGAGAGCCTAGTTTTTCCATTAAGAGTGAACATCGTGAAAGCGGCCAAGTTTATTTTATCACGCAGTGAATGGGAGCTACTCGCGAGTTTCGTGCTTCACTAGTGATGGTGCCAGCGAATCAATAACGTCCGTATGTACTTTGGATGCGATAATGACAGTGCGGTATGGATAATTCACATATATACAGACGCGTTTTTTTTGTTAGGTGGTTAACTACTTTTAATTTATCACACAAGTTATTGCTCATTAGCATGAAAATGTGCCAGGCAAATAAGTAACAATCAATAAGAAAAGTTTTGAAAAATCCATAACGAACACATGACCTATAATATACCTATATAATACCTATAACATGTTACCCCTGAGTTGCAAATTGAAACGCAATAGCTTTTTCTGACTCGACAACCACAAGCGATTACTCTGAAATACTATTTACTGTATATTGAAGCATCCTTGATTCATGTTTTTTTTTTGGGGGGATAGAAATAAAAAAATTATTTTCGAATGCCGAATGAACTTTGCAGAGGAGAGGGAGAGGTGAAAAAAATGTTTTATAATTAACATTAACTGAAAGTTCCGACACCAGGCGTACATTTCATCCCATATTTTTTATCATAAGCTTGATTTGGACATTGTTACAAAGTATAAATATAAAACACAGGTAAGGTATATATAAATATACATATATATACATGCACCTACGCATGGAGCCAACAACCGGCCCAAATTATCCCTACCATTGCGAACTTGTGCTAGTAGAGTTGCCAGCTATACGTGCGCGGCCACACGTGAATACGTACATGTCATACAAGTAGGTACACGGTGTCACGGTTTACGGTTGCACCGGTGCCGGTTTTCATGCAGCCGCGCGTAGGGGAGGGGGGTAGGGAGCAACTAGACAAATTGTCCCGGGGAACCAAAGAAAAGCCCATACATGCAAGTGCATCGTAGCGGGCGAGGACACCCCTGTCAAGCGAGTCCGAACTTTGTTTCGCGTAATTTAGCCGAGGCCACGCAGAGAGAGAGAGAGAGATGACTCCTACTGGTGGCGGCGGTGGGAATTTACATCTTCCGGTCTCCAATGTTTCCCATACATGCGCGCGAAAATAACAATGACGACGTGCAACAATGCAGCGCGTTAATAAATACACGAAAGAATTATCGCTGCTCGGAACTTTGTTCCGGAGGGTGAACAGGGAAAACCCCACTTTTCACTGCTTCTCGCGAAGAATAAGACCAAGGAGTAGGTAAATTTGATGTATGTATACTCCCCTCGGTGGGGCAGAAGGACGCGAGCCGGTGCGCCGCGTAACACGTGAAAGCCACTATACTTACACGGAGCCCCTCGCGTAACGCGGAGAAGGAGGAGTTGGTTATCCGAATAAGAGCCCGGGGGAGGGGGGGGGGGAGAGAAAAGTTTTCCCCAAAGTCGAGCCGGGTTGTATCCGTGTGTATATATACTTCGGGCAGCATCGCCAGGGTCGGGCCGCTCGCTGATGGATAAAGCCTCGGGGCTTAACTCGAAAAGTATGTGTGGCACTGGCCGTGATTTACCGGCGCCCTGGGCTTTGCCCCTCCCCCCCTGGAACTCTTTTACCCCGTTTTCTGCCTTCGAAAATGTCGCCCGCGAGGGGATCAAAATCGTATGGTTTAGTTTGCGAATCAAATCAGTCACCCAATGATGATTTTAATCGCGCAGCTATGAAAACAGTATACATACGCTCGCTTTGCCTTTAATTTTATTCATGCAAGAACCGGAATGAAAGCTGCAACCCGGGAAGCTTCTGGGAAATTTTTTATTTCCTTAAAAGTAAATAGGATAATTTGAATTTGAAATTTAAAAGCTCTTCCCCAACGCAAGATGCGCGTCTTCTCGTGGACGTCTCGTAACTAATTTTTTTAATCTTGAAAAGTGCATCCAAACAAATTAACGGAAGGCCAGGGAATGGATGCTCATAAAATTAATTAAAAATTATAGGGGGGGGAGGGAGCATGACCTATCTACCTGACAAGTAAATTTAACCATTTTATAAATTAATCGAACATCGAATACTTGAATAATTGAAACTTAACCAGACTCGAATTGAAAGAGTGTAAAAAAAGAAAATAAAAAAAAATACACGATACAGCTGTAGGGAAAAGTTGGAGGTAGAAGTAATTAGTAAGCTAATGACGCTTCCTCTCCTACCCGTGTGTATATAGACGTCTATATTCTATACACTGTACGCTGCGAGCATGAAAACATAAAAAGTTGTTAATGATCATCGCCACAGGGTAACAACGCACAGCGTTTGTCATATACACGCATTATGTGTACCAAGTGCCATTGTATGAACAAATGTATACATGCACGTATATAGGAAAGAGAGATCTCGTATTTCTTGTTCAATCGG